TCTTCTGGTGGTGCATTCTCTCGCTACGGTTTTGTACAATGGCGGATATGGCGCCGTTGATGACCTCGATAGAAGGCTTTGTGCATGGGTTCACTGCTTTGCTGGAAGATTGGACCTTCTTGGGACCCTTTTGTCCTTTGGTCTGCTTCTGAGAGTTGGCGAGAGCGTGCTCAGCTGCGACCCAGCGTTTGCCCATATCGTCCAGAGCGGCAAAGGCTTCATTGACCTGTTTTAGAGACATCAAGCCGTTGATACGGGCGGTCCAAGCATAGTTGCTTGGCTCTAGACCAGTCCTCAGCATGCGCTGCCACATTGCGTTGAGGCCATCGAGATCCCTTGCCTTTGCGCAGCCTTCCAAGAGTGCAACCCAGGAGTGCATATTTGGCTCGACCTTGTGAGCGATCATGTGGTTCCAGACCTCGACGGAGCGCTGTGGGCTGAGTACAGTCATGTACCCAGAAAGAAAGGCGTTGTATATAGCGGGGGGTATAGTCTTGTCCAGCGTGGCGTATGTTTTCTCAGTCTCCCGCCACATGCTGTCCAGCGTGGCTGCCGAGCCTTTGCTTGACACAGCACGCCCTATTCTGGTCATGTAGAATGCTTCCAAGTTGGTGTACTCGTCGCCTGTATTATCTGGACCAAGGGTGTCTCCGGCTTTTCCAAGAGCTACTAGGGCTTTTCGTGGAGCGTCATTGATTTCCTCCATGATCGTGACCTGGACATCTTCTGGTAGTTTTCTGAAGTCCGGCGTTTCTGTGTGTTTCAATACTGAGTCTACAAATGAGCCGGCAAGTAGCTGTCTAAGGAAGGCTAGAAAGGGAGCGGCCTCCTTTTGTGTTTTTGGGTCCAGTGCGTCCGAAATACCGTAGAAATAAACAGCACAGAAAGCCAAGGCAGGACTAGCGACATAGTTGGGAATGTAGCCTTGCAAGCGCATGTTAAACTGTCTCTGATCAAGCATATCCGGAATTGCGTCGACAGGTGGCAAGTGCCATTCAGTACTGACAGAATCTATGGTACCGCTCCCTGGCCCCATGCATTGGAAGAAGAGTCGCCATACAGACAGCAGCTCCGTGACTAGTGAAGGAATGTCTCTTGCCGATCCAGATGAAGAGTTCACAGCACGTATGATTTCATACGTTAAATAACCTATCGTTGGCCTGACCCAGTACTCTTTCCGAGCAATGCCAAGCTGCGCATATTTGAGAAGTACTGCAGTTGGTGTGACCTTCAAACCCGGGCTGGCTGCACAAAAGGTACTCGAGACGGCTCTGAGGAGTTTCGCAAATACCCGGTCTTCACTCAACAGCTGCGCATCGCGATCTGTTGGCTCCGTCAAGGCTTTGCAGTCGCGTGAAGTATAGATGCTCTCAAACGCCTTCCAGGCTCCATTGATCTTGCCGTAGCGGAGAGCGTCGAGCACTGGATCAGCAAAAGCTGTGCCCAGTCCAGACAATCCGTTCTGTACTGCATCGACGTATGCAGGTTTCTCCTCACCACCAGCGAACGTTGAGCCCGGGTTCGTCTCGTTATAGATGTGTCTGGAGTATCGGCCAAGTGGTTGTTGGCTGCCGGGTGGTTGCCCGTTGCGTGCGCTCGTAAATCGTATATTTGGCCCGTTGCGATTCGTTTCCTGGGCGCCATCTTCCTCATCTCTATTTTGCGTAGATGCTTCTTCATTTGGCGGTTCGGCGGCATCGTGTGGCTTTCGGCCGGCCAGCGAAACGATCGTGGCTCTAGGTTGCCATTGAGGGCTTCGCACGGGGGCAATTCGTCGGGCCAGGCGTGTCCGGCACTGTCGACATACGTATGCGCTTAGCATAATGCTGTGGCGAGCCTGAGGAGGGTGGAGGGGTGTGAACGCTGGCGACGATGGTCAGCTGGTGAGATCGAAACCTTTTGGCGTAGGAGTTTGCACACCTGCAATCGCTTTTCAATCCCTCATCTGCGCGTTGCTATCCACTCAGAGAATCCCAGTCAAGTCAAGAACCCGTCCCTAGTGAATTGTTGTACAGAAATGCGTGCAGCCACAAATCGCGTGCAGGCGTCGCGATGTTGTGCGGAATACCTCCGACCAATGGGACGCCATGACGTCCACACGCTCCACGTGACTGCGGGCTTCCTCCAGAAACCTCTCATGCCATCACAACCTCATTGTTCATGCTCTTCATAGCGAAAGAGCTTTAATACTAGAATTCTTGTCATCTCCGAGCCTCAGTGTGATTGATAAAACATACGATGACGACCCTGATCCCGCGGCAGTTCTATTCGCAGGAGGAGCTCGATAAGCTTTATCCGAAAGAGCTTGAATTGCAGCTCGTACAGATTGTGAGCACCAATTTCATAGCTTCTTTTCGTGCCACCACTAACTGAGATGCTAGTTACTTCGTCACGGTGAGTTGCGGCAACGCGTTACCGATATGTTGGCAAGCTTGGATACTGACGTCTACACAAAGGCGAAAGAAGCCCTGTGTCTCCTCGATTCCAAAATGTAGGCATCCTAGTCCGTGCATTACAATGCCATTGTTAACATCACCAGACTGGACTTCCACCTTGTAAGACACCTCTCACGAGCTGACTGAGGGGTTTCTAACTCAAGAAGATTGGCCCTACTGCAACTCCGCCCGACAACTTACCAGTATAATACTGAACACCAAGGACTTTTCGAAATGGGATCAGCTGAAATATCGCCGTCGTCTCGAGACTTTTGGCATGGATGATGGGCCCGGTACCATATTCGCTCATTTACCCCGGAGGGCCCACTAACAAGAACTAGTCATCGCATCAGGACCTAAAGGCGAATTTGATGCCATATGTCAACCCGGTGAACTCACGGATAAGGGCCGTGAAACCACTCTAGCCCTAGGAGAGCGCCTCCGCCATCTCTATGTCAACCAGCTTAAGTTCATGCCCGAGCTCATCTCCGATAGTGACATGATCTATCTACGCGCAACGCCTATTCCACGCGCTCTAGAATCTCTTCAACAGGCCTTCTGGGGCTTCTATCCACCATCCGCACGAACTGCTGACTTCCCTCCACCAACAATCATCACCCGAACCCCGGCTGATGAAACGCTCTTCCCCAACGATGCAAGCTGTCGACGTTTCGCTCAACTGAGCCGAGCATTCGCGCAACGTGCAGCTGAGCGTTGGAACGACACCGATGACATGCGCTACCTCACCAAGGTGCTTTCGAAATGGATGCCGGGAGAGCAGAAAGTAGCCGTGGATTCTCACCCCAGGCTTTCCGGTATCATGGACACCCTCAACGCCACCGACGCACACGGTCCGGAAACCAAGCTGCCAAAAGAGTTCTACGACTCCAAAGCCCGTGCCATCATCGATAAGATCGCGGTCGAGGAATGGTACGCAGGTTACACCGAGTCCTCCGAGTACCGTATGCTCGGCATCGGCGGCCTAATGGGCGACATCACCTCCCGAATGGTCGGCAGCGTCGAGCGCAACGGCAACTCCGGCATAGTCGAAGTCGGCGGCGTAGACGGAAAACTAGGCAAAGGACGAGGCGGCGAAACCAACATCCGCTTCGCCATGTCAGGATGCCACGATACTACCCTGGCCGGCGTACTCACGTCACTGGGTGCCTTCAACGGCGAGAAATGGCCCCCATTCACCTCGCACATCGCCGTCGAAATGTTTCGCAAGCGAAACCCCACCTCCATCACAAACCCTCCCGTCGCCCCCACAGAGCAAAACCCCGCTCTCAAAAGCCAAAGCTGGTGGTCCTCCCTTTTCGGCAGCACAAAAACCACTTCAGACTCCAGCCTCACCCCCGAAGGCATAGCCCGCAAGCCCATCACCGATCTCACCACCGCACAGCGCGACCAACTAAACGACTACTACGTCCGTCTCCGTTACAACGACAAAGTCATGGAGATACCGGGTTGCAAAGCACCGGGCAAGCATCTAGACGGGGATACCAGTTTCTGCACACTGGACGCGTTCAAGGCTATTGTGGATAAGTATACGCCGAAAAATTGGAAGGCGGCTTGTGCGAGTCGGTTGGATGAGCCGGCTTTTCCGGTGAAGGTTGAACCAGCGGGGTATGAGTAGTTTGTTGTGCGAAGGGTGAATACAGGTTGAGGAGAAATGAGGGTAGTGGCGGTATAGACTGTTGACATGTTGGTTGAAGAATAGAGATAGACTAGATACAACAAGATTCCATTCCCTGACTTCCACCCTAGCTATAAATCGCCCTTGAACACATACGCCTCCCTCTACTTCCCCGAACGCGCACCGCCGCGTATCAGGCACCACCACTTGACGCGCCAATCTCGAGCAAGACGATCATACTTCTCCTCTAGCCCCACAATCTTCCCATCGCGTTCCCTCAGCTCCCCCCGTAACCCTTCCACCTCTTCCCTCAGCTCCGAAATCCTTGTCCAATCTTGTGTTTGGAGCTGCGCCTGGAGAACCTGAATCTGTTGGCTCAACTCCATTTTCTCAGCTCTCAGCTCAGAGATGGTTTGTCCGTTTTGGATTTGGTGTTGTAGGAGTTGGTGGCGGAGGTTTATTTTGTCGGACTGGAGTGAAGAGATGATTTTGTTGAGGTCTTGTACTTCTGTGTCGGTGCGGTGTGTGTAGTAGGTGAATATAGTGGCAACGATGCCGTCGAGGGCGCTGTTGGTGAGGGTTGCGAGGTGCGAGATGAGGTCTGTGGGGAATGCGGATAGGGGGAAGGAGGATATGGAGTAGGATGCCATGGTGAAGTGGGTGTGTTGGTGTTTTGGCGAGTGGAAGGAAGGATGGCGGTGGCGACGGTGGAAATGTGGTGATGATGGTGTTGCTGTGATGGTAGATCATGCGTTATAGATATAAGTCCCATGTAAGTTCAGAGCGTCAATATTGTCTTACTTCATAAAGGATGTGAGTCTTGAGTATGTGTTCAGCACATAGACCAAATGATAAGACATGTTGTGCACAATAGACTGTTCCTTGATTCTGCGACATATCGAAAGTGTCTCATCTTGTGACTTAGGTGCTCAAGCTTCCTTCCTACATTTCCCAAATACCCTCCGTCCTAGATACGACTTCAGCCTACCAAAGATATTTCGTCGCTTTGACACCTCAATACCCTCCCTATCCGCGACAATAGTACCACTGCCTTTACTCGCACCTTCCGCATTTGCGTCCCCTTCTTCTTCTTCCTCCTCCTCCTCATACCTCCGCACCCTCGCTTCTTCCGCCTCAGCCTCCAGCTTTTCCTTTTCTTCCTCCTCCTCCTTCTCTTTCACCGCCTTCGCCCTAGCCCTCGCCGCCCTCTCCCTCAACATCTCCCTCCGAGCCTTCAAATGCGCAGCATAGTCCTCTGCAACTGTCACACTGGTATCGTATCTCGCTGCTTCATCTGGAAAGTCGAGCGGTTTCGCGTTGGCTGGAAGGCCTAATCGTGCCATGTAGTGGTCCCAGGACTCGGTGGTAGGACGTGGATCGGGTCCGCTTTGTGTGGGTTTGATGTCCGCGATGATGTGGATTTGGAACGACATGGTTGTTGGTGTGTTGAAGGTGTGTTAGGCAAGGTGTAATTGTGACCTTGCGGGTTGGAGAAAAGGGAAGAGCCACTATAGTGTTTCAGTTGAGTGATAGACTTGGGAACGCATGGTACAGCGTTAATGTAGATTTCTTTGAGCACTTTCACCAAAGCATACAAAGGGCTATATTTAAGCGCACCATACAATTCACTTCAATGCCGAGTGAAATGTGGAACTGTTCTGCGTTTGCTTGATAGTGTGCCTAAAGAGAGCAGTTGAGTATGAATTACTTTTGATTGTGTTACTGTACATCAACTAAAGCCGCTGTACACGGACCCCTGTCTAATCGAGACACCTTCTCGTCGCACGGCTGACACCAGATTTACAATACTCATACCGCTAGTAAACACATTCGAAAAAGTGGCCTAGTCCACTGACAGTATACCCTAGACTCCAAAGAAGCACCCCACCTGTAGTATCTTACAGCTTCATCAGTACTCCCATCACATACCAAGCCACTGAAACCGGGCGGAAAGTTCAGAAACATCTGGGAGACATGTCAGCATACACGCAATGAGATCAGGGTGTCCAAAAGCATTCCACTAACTCGCAGAAGCCTCATCAGCCACCCTATCCGAATGCCGTATGGTGCCTGTAAAACGCCCTGTACCACCAGCAAGCATGCCATCAAACTCAGCGGCGCGAGCTGCTTCAGCGTCTTCCCAGCCGGTTTTCAAGTCCCAGGCCGCATCGAGTGCAGCCAGCTCAGATGGGTCGATCTCTTGCACAATGTCACCCAGGTGGCCCCACTTGGCGCTCAGCATAGCGGGCGCAAGAGCGACAATTCGCTTACCGAGCATCTGGTTGCGCCAGTGGGCAGCCATACCAAGAGGATCGACATCAGATTGATCGAAAGCTGTGTTAGACAGCTTAGCATAACCGCATGAAACAAACTCAATTGTTCGCAGTGAGGTAGTGCGCTCGCTGTCGGCCTTGGAATGCTCAGATCCGAAGTCGGAGAGATTGGTGCCGGGTGAGATTTGATCAATGATATCCATCCAACAGCCCTCGCGGGGCTGTGCCTTGAGTACAGACTGAGCGTCACCTGGAACTGGATTGTTTGCTAACGCAGGAATAGGTTGAGGCTGCTGTCCCAGAAGTAACTGCGTGTGCAATTGATGGACCTGTTGAGCGAGCTGGGCCACAGTGGCGAAATTGATATGCTGTTGAGCGATTGCTTGAACCTGCTGGTTTGGCTGCACCGGAGCTTGGGGTTGGCCTTGAGGTTGAACTTGAGCTGGTGCTTGTCCTTGACCTTGAGGTTGAGCTTGATTATGTGCTTGTTGTCCTGGGTTGTTGGGCACCTGTCCGATCTGCTGTTGCAGTTGGTTATGTAAGGCCGCTATATTATTGTTTTGAACAGCTCCAGCGTGGGCCTGCAGTTGTTGAAGTTGCGCTTGAAGCGCCTGGATATAAGCCTGGAGGGTCTGCTGCTGGTTTGGCGCTAATTGCGGACCCTGGGCACCAACAGCGCCAAATAGTGCACCTACCGGAAGATGAGGCGGCATTATGTTGTGAAATGCCGCTGGTTGCGGGACTGCATGGTTCGGGTTGGCGTGAGGACGCAGCACGCCCGTAAGTGACACCGAATCCAGTACCAAAGTCTGCAGCTTGTACCGATCGTGCATCTTGACGAATTCGCGCAAAGCTGGTGGCGTAATCCAGCAATTGTTCAGCACGAGTTGTTCTACATGAGGGAACTGAAGCAAACCTGCCCTCACAAGAGCTGCATCAGTTGCGACCAGCACCGTGGGGTGGATAGAAGGAGGATTCTCTGAACGACCTCGTATATCCATTACGGGAGCAGGGAATAGCAGTTTGTTCCTCGCGTAGAGTCCCTCAGCATGTTCGCCTCCAGTGACAAAACCAACTTTTAGGTGACGGATGTTCGCTCGACCAGCAACATGATGGCGGAGTAGGTCGAATAGTACACCGTGGCTTTGTGTGGGGCTAATCTTTGGCGCGTCAACGAAGCAGGTCTCGTCCTTTTGCACAGTTCGCCAGCATGGGATCACCATGATGGTAACGTTGTGGAGTTCTGGTAGTGCGTCCCAGAAATCCGAACGATTTAGCATTGGGAGGTAACGATCGGAGAGCCCGGAAATGTTCAGCGTATGCACGTATTGGAACGTGGTCGGGTTGTCGATGATAGAGAGCATGTACGAAGACATGAAAGCTCGTTGGGCCCACTCAGTCTCCAATAGCCATTCTTTTTGCGCCTTGGTGAGATTGGCGGGTATGACAGGGTTCACAAGGTGCGCTCCTTCCGATGGCATTTTACTTGATGAGAACAGAATACCTGTACCTGAAGGTGGTGCGGCTGACACAAAGCGCTCCAGAACATACGGGTCGTCGAAACTACTAGGAACAGGAACGTCGCCAGTTTCATAAGGAGTTGCAGCATGGAGAAGCTGAGGATCTAAGTAGGGCATCTGTGGTTGCTCATCTGCTAGATTGTTGGCCTCCTTCAGCTCGGAAAGAGGAACTTGACCATCCATCCTGTATAGTGTGGCCAGTCTAACATCACTACCAGCGTTCTGATGGCATGCTTCAATGTGATTCCAAAGCTCCTGTTGGGCCTGGGCTCTACGATCTGGGATGGCTTTGGCAGTGCCAAAGACGCGAGATGGCCTTTGCAAGACACGTGCTCGAATAGATCTGTCCGGTCCGTTCAGCCATCCTAAACCGCTATCAATGGAAAGCGCCAGTTCCCTGACACTTTTAAGCTCTGAAAATGCTGTTTTCATCCGCGGTGTTTCATCAGCGGCATTTTCGAGTCCAGCGACAGTATCGAAGCGACGATACTCTTCATGTGGCCAGTCGTAGTTTCCCCAAAAGCTTGTCTTTTTCTCCGTCAGTGACTTGACGGGCGGCATGGAAAGCGATTCTTCGTTGACTTCAAAGCTCATGCCGAACTTCTTGATGTGTTCACCGAAGCCGCGGAAGACGTCGAGGCCATGACCATTGTATACTTCATCGCCGTTTGCGTTCTTCCATAAGTAGCTGGGTTGCTCGATTCGTGCGCGCTTTTTGCCCTTAAGGTCAGGCTTGTGCTCTTGTGCTAGCATGCCGTAGATCTCGGTATTGAAGGGAACAACCACTGTCCGGAAGATGACCTGCGAGACCGTTTTGTTCATCTCGCGGCTTACAAGACGTAGTGATTTTATGTCGTCGCGGTTGAGGTGTTCAGCGATCATCTCTACAAGCTCAACCGGCAGCTTCCATTCCGGGCGCCCGACCGAGGGACTAGGAAGAGTGTCACGCGACTCCTCATTCCTTGCAGTCTTTACTGCCTTCTTTCCACTTTTCTTGGAGGGGGGATGCTTTGGATCCTGATCAGATGCGAGCAGTTTGCTCTGGTCGAGCAGATAGTATTTGGCGGGTAGTTTTGTGGAACTGCGGCATTCGGGCCAAATATCGTTCGCTTGAGGGTTGGGGCTGATGCTGTTGTATAGCATGGCACTGACAGCACCTCTGAAGTTCAGGACGTGTGTGATGGCCTTTTCCTCTGGGCTCTCATAGCTATCGCGCGAGCGCTTCGAAGGGCCGGGCATGATGGGGCGATGTGAGTAGTTGAAAGTATAGTGGAGATTGTTCGCGGGTGACGAGGAGTCTCCAAAGGGAGCTGGTGCACCAACTGGAATTCGGTCTGCTTCGTCGTCCCAGTCGCCGTCGGTGAAGTGAACGCGCCGGGAGTGGGCACCGGAATCACTTTCACGGTGATCGTATATGCCCGAATCACCCAAATCCTCGTCTCCAAACCTCTCGGCGTCTTCCAACAGGTCCAAGTGTAAGGCAATCGCAAGCTCGTGGTCGTACGGACTTTCCGAGGTTGAACTCTCGCCTTCGCCTTCTGGTGCTTGAGGTGTAGGGTTGTACAGCGAGTGAGCGAAACGAGGATGCTGCCTTCGCCGTCCACGTGGGGCGACGCTGTATCTGTTTGCGCGGCCGCGTGATGAGGAGCCTCGGTAAGATGTCGCTCCTGGGTTTGCGAAGTATTGATGAATGAGAGGCTGGTATATGTTGGGCGCGTTGTTCGCGGCTTCGGGACGTGGGGAGGGCGTAGGGCTAGCAAAGAGGGTCGCGGGCTGTTGCGTGTCAGCGTATGGCAGGAGCGAAGGGGTAATGATGGCCTCATGCCTGCCAAAAGCAGATGTTGCTGTCGGCATGCACGTGCGGCGTGCCGTAACGGCAGAAGGTGCGTATGAGGTTTGCCGTACCTGGGCAGGAGCGTTTGTTTGGGTTCCGCTGCTCTCACCTTCCCCATCCTCGGGCGCGGCTTCGTTCGAGCGCAACGCCCACCATGGCGTCAGCCTTTGGGTTATACTGCGCCTGCCTTCGTTGTTCGCCATGATCTCGTGACTGAGCCAGACCGCTTCTTTCGAGGTTGGGCGATCTACAACGTCTCGGGACTCCAGGTAGCTTCCGAAGGGCACGCGGTACAGCGGTAATACAACACTGCGCCCATTGAGCCGCGACGGCAGGCTATTGGGAACCGGCGGATGTTTCTGTACCAGAGTGTCTATTAGTGAGATGACTCAAAGAGATCAGTATGCATGTCGCGACGAGAGGGAGGTTCGGCACGGCGGCATGCGGTGGTGTTGCATGCTTCAATCACAAGCTCAAGCCCAAGAAGTTGTTTGTGCTGGAGCCGCAAACGCGCCCCGCCGAGCCCATGCACGATGTCATCCCGCTCTGCGAACCATCCCCAGGTCTCCGCATTTGCGCCACGGCCGACATTACCCCTGGCAGCAAGATCCTCTCTCAGTGCTCCTAATGTTATAGCATCTTTACCGTTTACAGCTCTTTTCAGCATCGCGCCGTGTTGTTCACTTGATTAACCCCGTCTTCCGCTCCTGCCCTGTGTCTCAGTGGGTGTCGATCGATGCGCACGTCCCGGCATCTATCTGTCAAATACCAATTATTCCATTAGAGAAAATCTGTGTCTGGGAAGACTAGACAATCAGTAGTAAGAAAGAAAAGGAACTGGACTCTGCTCTGATCAGGCGTGCCACCGCCACCCTCATAGACCAGGTGCGGAGCGCGGAAATCCGCTCCGCAAGGCTACAGCATAAACCGCCTGCCCGGCGAGACGTACGACCCTCACATTCTCAACCACCAATGTCCAGCGCCAATTCGCAATCTATTGAAATCATGCGATCCTTCAATCATGCTTCACCACTTCTTGCTCTGCCGCGCGAGTTGCGCGACGAGATTCTTGGCTACCTGATCCTACCGCAGTACGTCTATACATCGACTTCGATAAAGGACACCCAGCATTTGTACAGATCGCGTCAAATACCCATGGATACATATGTAGATACACGCATCTATCTCCCTTCCCGTCCACCTCCAAACGTCCTAGCAACGTGTCGGCAGCTACGAGAAGAGTGTCTAGAACACCGTCTTCTGCTGTCAAAGGTCACTCCAACAACGCCAGACTCGGAGGAGCAGCCCTTGAGTTGGGTCGTGGCTGAGAGGCTCGGAACCGAATTTGCCGAAGAAACAGAGCGTGCCTGCGACGATGACGCTCTGCGTATTACAGTGGAGGTCCAGCGCCAGCTACGCGGGGCTCACGGTTACTACGTCCCCACGCGCGAAGAGATGTCGCCTCGTTTCCTTGCTCTACTTCCAATTATCGGCAGGACTAAGAAACTCAGGCTTGCTATTTGGCCCGGATACGACTGGTGGAATGGTGGTCCGCAGGTGTTCATCGATAAACGCGGGAATGCTCGCATCAACCCTGGTGAGGCAGCGAGGCCCAATGCTGCCTCAATTGCCATCAGCCGGATCCTCCAGTATTTTCCTAACGTCGAGGAACTCAGTGTGGACGTCCTCATGCAGGCATCCGAGGGTGGTAGATGGGATTTGCCTGACAAGAAGTGGGAAAATGTTCAGCCCTGGCTGGATGCACCCGTTACGCCTGCAGTAGGAGAGACAATCCGGAAAGTTACTAGGAAGCTCACCGGGTTCTGGAAAACATCAGAGCCGGAGCCCTTTTACGTACAACACGAGATTCGTCAATCGGGCAATGCTTGGAAGGTGGACAGGAAGGGCGATATGGGCACCGTGAGTCGCTTTCGAGCCATACGCATTTGTTCGTCGCTTACAACTCCAGCCGACAATGAAGTCCTTCTGCGATACCGGTAATGAAGCCGACATGGAATTCCTCAGATCGCTCGTGGTCGAAGAATCGTTCGTCCGAAATGATTAGAAAACATGAAGCTGAAGTCATGTCTAGACCCGCATGAGCGTCGGAAAATTACCGTAGCCCTATTCCTTAGTCTCACCGACGTTTATATTGCCCTCATCAAGCATCGGCGAAATGTTTCAGGCGCACGGAATGACTTGTGGGGAAGCTTGACTTGACGGACAGGGGTCCGGCTGCGCGGAGCATTCCCGACGCATCGCAAAATCGATGCACATCACGAAGAACATCGTCTTTCGACAACTAGCTGCTGATCAGCTTCTGAGGTTCTTCCGTCAGCTCCATCAATACTATACTACCAGCCAAATCCACCAATGTGTCAAGTGGCCCTCCCACCTTTCTCTGATGATCGACAAGTCTACGGCCTGACCATGGGACATCCTTGAGAGGAGTAGTGTCTATTTCGGGAATAGCTTGCTTGACATGTTCATTCCTTCGAAACAACGGGGTCGACTACGAACACAGATACTCCGTGAGCACGTTCTCCTCTTTCTATTTCTTAGCTCGTACGATGTCTGACGTTGTACTTAAACTTGATCTACAGCTTCCCAAGTCTACTACCCTCACTCCAAATAACGAATAGGCTACCACACTCATTTTCACTATTACCGTCTATCAATATGAAGTTCAGCGCACTCCTCATCGCCAGCACGGCATCTCTCGCCCTCGCTATCCCCACCGCTACCATCCAGAAGCGTGCAGACTACTGCGGCCAATGGGACAGCGCCGTGACCGGTGACTACACCGTTTACAACAACCTCTGGGGCCAAGCCGACGCCACATCCGGTTCCCAATGCACCGGCGTTGATGGTCTCAGTGGCAGGACCCTCAAGTGGCACACTTCATGGTCCTGGGCTGGCGGGTACGTCCTTCTCTCTGTCTACCACCAAACTCATACTAACATCTCCTCCAGCCCCGGACACGTTAAGTCCTACGCCAACGTCGTAACCAAAATTACCCAGAAGGCCCTCTCATCTATCAAATCCCTCCCCTCAGTCTGGAAATGGTCCTACGCCGGCGACGACCTCATCGCAAACGTCTCCTACGACCTTTTCACCTCCTCCAAAGCTGGCGGTGACCCCGAGTACGAGATCATGATCTGGGTCGGTGCTCTCGGAGGCGCTGGTCCCATTTCCGCCACTGGCAGCCCCATTGCTACCGTCACTCTGGCTGGCAACAGCTGGAAGTTGTACAACGGCAAGAACGGCCAAATGAATGTGTTCAGCTTTGTTGCCGAGAAGCAGATCAACAGCTTCAATGGCGATTTGATGGAGTTTGTCAAGGAGGTTACTGGCAAGCATGGTATGCCCAGCAGCCAGATCTTGACAAGTGTTGGAGCTGGCACTGAGCCTTTCTCTGGTAGCAAGGCGAAGCTTACTGTTACTGAGTACAGCTTGAGCATGAGCTAGATGCATCCCGCTCTTGCTTTATTGGAAACCGTGTAGATGCACATAGGCAGCTCTTCTTGTACATACCTACGTCTTACTCTGCACATACTTCTCTCGCGCACTGTACATACAATGATCAAAACATTGCTCTGGCTTCTTGCGTTCTATTGTGGTATCTACACTTCTTGCTCGACTTGGAGGATGGTATCGCGGGCCGCTCTTCCTCGTCTCGCTTCTGAGAACTGACGTTCCTGCTCCACGTTACACGAGGCAGCCACCGTTAGCATCGTCTAACCTAACCCGGTGCGCAATGCGACAGCGTCACTGGAGGCCTGACAGGTAAGCTTCAACAAGCCTTAAGAAGCTCCTCAGCCAAGCTGCAGGTGGAGATGAAAGAACCATACCAGCGCTGATCATCAACCTCGTCCTGCAATACTACATCAAACAGCAACAAAAATATGGCACCAAAAATCGCAATCATTGGCGCAGGCCCCGGCGGCTGCATGCTCGCACGCCTACTACTCACCCAATGCGACTGCAGCACCACCATCTTCGAAGCAGAAGCTTCCATCAGTTACCGTTCGCAAGGCGGCACCTTAGACTTGCGCGCCAACACAGGTCTCGCTGCAATAAAACTAGCAGGCCTGTGGGACGAGTTCCAAAAGTATGCTCGCTACGACGGCGAGAGTCTGCTTGTCACCGATAAAAACCTCACGACATGGTTGAGAAGAGGTGGACGCAAGACAGCAGACGGGAAGCTGAGCCCAGGAGACGCACCAGAAATCGATCGTGCAGATCTGAGGAGAATGCTCATAGAGAGCTTACCTCATGACACTGTTCGCTGGGGCTACAAGCTCTCGCGCGTTGAAGAAAGCACTTCAGGACTATGTCTGTGTTTCGCGAACGGTGAGGTGCTAGACGGCTTCGACTTGATCGTAGGTTGCGACGGCGCTTTCAGCAAGACACGCAACCTCTTAACATCAGAGAAGCCGTACTACGCTGGTCTAGGCGGCTGGACAATGTACATACCCAACGCCTCAACCGCCGCACCAGACCTATACAATTTCGTAAACAGAGGCAGCGTCTTCGCCTACTCCGACGGAAAATCGCTCTCCATACAACAACTCTCCGACTCCTCCATCTACGTCGCCTACTACGGCCAGCACCCCGAGGATTTTGCCCAAACATGCGGTTTCGACGCTCAAAACGACGTCGAAGCAGCGAAAGCAGTGTTGAGAAAGGAGCTGCACGATTGGTCACCTCGGCTCCTCGACGCAGTCGAAAAAGCGACAACAGGACTCGTATGGAGAAACCTCTACGAACTCCCCGTAGGCTTCACCTGGCCACACAAACCCGGTATCACGCTCCTAGGCGACGCAGCGCACGTCATGACGCCGTTTGCGGGAATTGGCGTTAACACGGCGTTTTACGACGCCATGGTTCTTACTGAGCAGATTGTTGCGTACAGTTCATGTAGCTCCGCCGGCGGCGAGGGTGTTGATCAGGTGGAGGCGCTGGGACGGTATGTAGAGGGGTATGAGAAGAGCATGTTTGGGCATGCGCATGCTGCACA